AAAAAAAAAAAAAAAAAAAAAAAAAAAAAAAAAAAAAAAAAATCCCCTATTTAGGCAGACAGATCTCAGTGAATTTGAGACCAGCCTGGTCTACAAAGTGAGTTCCAGGACAGTCAGGACTGTTACACAGAGAAACCCTGTCTCGAAAACCCAAAAAGAAAATCTGCTATTTCATAATTCTATTACCTACTCTGACTAATGTGGCACTCTGCACACAGTAGGTTTTCAAGAAACTTGGGTAGACTATAGAATTAGTGAATAATCATGTAGGAATTACTTAAAATTAACAGTAAAAAATGAGGCTATTTTATTCTTAATGATATTGTAATGAAGACTATTTTAAACTCTATGCAGCAATGATACACACAAATATTTAAACTATTTATGTGCCTCAACTTGACATAATTTCATGATAACTTGATGGCAATCACATTTAAATATATTAGAATATTTTTCTAATAATGGTGTTCTAGAATAGCAACTTTAATAGCTAGGAAAACATGTTAATAATGGCCATTAGCCTGAAAGAAACAAAGAACACCAAACATTTTTTTTCAGAAATAAATGTATAAGTTTAACCATTCTGCTATAATATTTATGAGCAAACCTTAAATTAAGATTTATAAAATGTAAACTATCAAATGTTTCAGTTAGGAAATAATTTGGGCTATATTTGTAATTTTCCCCATGTACACATGGGGGAATACTGTTTTTTAAAGATATCTTTCTGCTCTTGTCTCTATCACTGTCTAAATATGAAGATGAATTCTGCTTGATGCAAGACCAAGGTGTTCCTACAGAATTACTCAGTCGTCACTTGCATGTCTGGGTCAATGGATAAACAAATGATTTCCCCTTACCTTCAGGACAGCTATAAATGGTACAAAGTTAGCCCTCTGGAGTCCATTTTTATAGAGATCTGAAACAAACAAATGCATGAGCTTTTTACTTAGTAGAATCTTTCTACTGACTAAGAAGGCACAAGAAAAAACTGACAAAATGATTTCTATTCAAACAGTACCAACACTCCATTTTTAATAGAAGAAAACTTAGCAGTCACAGAAAGGAAATTTGAAGCATCCTAGCTAATGGCTTTAAGTGTGAGGAAGAGCAGTGGAGGTCATAAAGACATGATGATACAGAGCTGGGCATGGTACTGCACACGCCTTTAACCCCATGGTACTGCACACACCTTTAACCCCATGGTACTGCACACGCCTTTAACCCCAGCACACAGGAGGCAGAGGCAGGCAGGTCTCTCTGAGTTGGAGGCCAGCCTGGTCTCCAGAGAGAGTCCCAGCATAGCCAACGCTACCCAGAGAAACCCTGTCTTGAAAAACAAAGAGGAGGAAGAAGAGGAGGTGGTGAAGAAGAGGAAGCGGAGCATCTAAAAGTATTTAGTCCTTGAACATACAAGATTGCCCCAGGAAAGAAATCATCTTTATTTTGGTCTGTAAGTTCTCAGTAATTAATTAAAAGTCATGTGAAATTAACCCTTTTAGAAAACACATCGCCAGACAAAACGGCTCCTGAATTTGTACTAAGGTCATATATCTGATTAAAAGGTAAGGAAAAGACAGTGTGATGTATTATCTAAAAATCTAAATAGTCTTTTTGTTTGGTTGTTTGATTTTTGGTTTTCTGAGACAGGGTTTCTCTGTGTAACACCCCTGGATGTCTTAGAACTCACTCTGGAGACCAGGCTGGCCTTGAACTAACAGAGATCCACCTGCCTCTGCCTCCTGAGTGCTGGAATTAAAGTGCACTACCACTGCTGAGCCCAAATACTTTTCTTAATGAGCGAAGACATAAGGTGATTATATCAAAGGCAGTATTTTCTTACTTAACTGTATTTCAACTTATGTATGTGTCACAATGAATATATGCTTACACAAAATACAGATTCATAAATAGACTTATTTTGAAAAGCCAAAACAAAAACAAAACAAAAAGCCAGCAATAGACTTAAAGGATTTTATACTTTTCTTTTAAAGGAAGACTTTTGCCAAACAGAGCAGCACACATATGTAACAGTAGTGCTCCAGTTGACAAAACACATATGTAACTGCAGCACTCAGGAGCCACACATATGTAACTGCAGTACTCAGGAGGCACACATACACGTAACTGCAGTACTCAGGAGGCACACACATATGTAACTGCAGTGCTCAGGATGATGACACACACATATGTAACCGCAGTACTCAGGATGGCACACATATGTGGCAATCAAGGAGAGGCTTCAGTTCACACACATCTCAATTTTGATATAGGGACATCACAAAAGGTAAAATGATGCTGACCAGGCTCTGAGGATGTCAAAGTTCAACGTGAGATCTTCACTATAATCCTTACCTTCACTGAGTAAAATGGATAAAATCTGGGAAATGGGTTTAAAATTAAACATTTCCACAGTTTTCACCAATGACGAAAAGTTCCTGGAGATGTAGAGGGGCGTGGGGGCTGTCTGGTGGTAAAGTGTTTTCCTAGTATGCATGAGGCCCAGGATCAGCCCCCAGACCCTACTCACAAAAGGAACAGCAAGTAAGAAAAAGTGAAAATAAGAATTTTTAAACTCAGTTCATGTTCTAGCAGCTTTATTCATAACAGCAAGAAGCAAAGCAAACAAAAAAGCCTTTATTTGTAATATTCCCAACCCAGAAGCAAAACAGATTGCAACATTCGGAAACAGAAAACAAATCATGCACATCTGCATAATGAAATACTATTCTGCAACAAAAAAGATGAACTAAGTGAACAATAGGCAGATCTCAAAAGAAACAGACCCAAAACAATATACACTGGGTAGTTCCCTTGATATAAAACTAGAGAAAAGATAAGCCCACCCATAGCAACAAAAGCAAGTGGTTCCCTGAGGACAGAAGGCGGGACTGACAGTGAGTGATGAAGAAAGAAGGCAGGACCAACAGTGAGTGATGACACAGGAAAGTTTGGCAAGAAACATAAATATTTGCTAAATATTTATGATGGTTTAAACAATGAATTTATTTTTTAATTTTTAATGCATGAATACTGTATTTACATGACCCCCATATATTGGCAGTTTTTAAGATGTGTCATTTCTATTATGTACTAGAAATCCCTTAACAAAAATGTATCAACAGTACTGAATATGTATGAGTAATACAAAGCTAAGGTGTTATTTTAAGGTTTTTTCTTTGCTGTTGTTTGTTTGTTTGTTTGAGACAGGTTCTAGCTATGCAGCCCTAGATGGCTGTTCTGGAACTTCCCATGCAGACCAGTTTGGCCTCAAACAGAGATCTGCCTGCCTCTTCCAGAGTAGGGCTGGGATTAAAGGTGCCCACCACACCTGTCTTGTCTGTTTTTAATGCTACAGGAGGCTGACAAGCAGGCACCTTTGAAGTGCTCAGGTCGGGAAAGCAGCAAAGATTCACTTGCGGTTAAGTAGATTTCCATTGGTCAGCAAAATTAAAGGAGGATGACAGTAGGTAAGCCTTACAGATTTAACATTTCAAAGGGTTACATTTTTAAAACTCAGCCTTTACAAAGACACGTGGTTCTAACATTAGGCTCTGAGGGGCATTTTCTAAACAGAATCCTAAGCTGAAATCCATTGGCTTGAAAAGTTTTAGGATTTCATGGAACTTGTAATGGAAAAGGGGCTGTAGTCATTAAATTGAAGTTTCTCTGCAATTCAGATATTATGCTAATTACAATACAATGTATCTATCTCTGGAAATGTTATTTAGCTACAAAGTTTTTCACACTTGGTTTTAACTTTCTTATATGTAAAGATTTTATATTATACTTATATCAACAGTTGCTAGTATTTACTAAATACCAGTTAAAAATTCACCAGTTCTTGCCTGTGGGTTTTTGTTTTTGTTTTATGATTTCTGAACAGAGCTAAATGAACACTTGGTTGTGTAAGATAAAGGACTGAGCCTATGGGACACTCATTTTGTAGAGAATGGTATGAAGACTCTAAACTCTGCAGAGGGAAGAACTGTAATAATACTTACAGATGAAATGCATGCAAAAAGGGTTTTTTAGTAATGACAAGCACATCAATACTGTGGAGATGCATGTGGATAGCAGATCTCTTCCTTAAAATTCAAGTTTCAAAACCAAGAGGGTGAACAATGACTATTTATACATGTACAAACTGGATTAGAGTAACAAAAGCATGTAAGAAAGGTAATTCAATAGAATTTTCCTATAAAATAAGAAAATATGTCCTGACATAAAATATTTATGTGGCTCTCTGGGGTCAATATGATTTATCCTTCAAGGTATTATTATTTTATCATATATATTTTTAAAGGGCACCTTTAGACCATTTAAGCAGCAACAGCAATTTATCTTTTCTCTTTCATTATTTAGAAAATGTTTTATTAGTTTCTGTAATCAACCCACTTAGGTAAGGCCTTACAATTAATATACTGCATTCCATCTGCACAAGTGGGAAATATTAACATTTCTAGGCCAATCAATCAATATGGCTGTGAATTTCTGTACAATGTCAGGTTAACAGAGTAAACTGGAATACTTTTTCCCAACATCCACAGCATAGTATTTGGTTTCCTTCAATAATAAAACTAGAGTCTTGTAACATGATTAATAAAAGACCCAGAGACAGATATTGGGGTTCAAGCTTCAAGCTGAAGCTCAGATGCAAAGCAGTGGGTCACTAGCTCTTCTCTATCTCAGCTCAGACCAAAGGGGAGATCCTTAGACTGCTCCCGACTTCACTGCTCCTCAGATTCACTCAGACTGCTATGCTCTCCTCAACGTGGCTAGAGACCAAGATTAACTCTCCCATGAACCCTTTTGTCTTCTTTATATACCTCTCAAATCCTGGGATTAAAAGTGTGGGATTCCAAGTGCTGAGATCGCCTTTGTGAGCTGTTTCTCTTTTAGACGGGATCAATTTTGTGTAGTTCAGTGTGGCCTTGAACTAACAGAGATCCATCTGTTTGTCTCTTGAGTCCTGGAATTAAAGGTGTTTACCACCACTGCCTGGCTCTATGGCTTGTGATTAGTTTTTTCATTCTGAATCCTCAGGCAAGCTTTAATAAATCATAAACAATATATCTCCACAAAGTCCAAACAGTATTTTGCTAAATATGCAAATAATATGAAAAATTAAGTTTTCCTTTTGATTGCAGAATGTAGTTATACAGCCAGGCAGGCAGCAAGTGCTTGTAATCTTAGCACTTGGGAGGCGAAGGCAGGAGGGAGGAGACTCTATCGCCAGGCCGGGATTCAGAGTGAGACTCTAATGAGAAGGAGAAGGGACAAGAGGAGAGAGAGAGTGGAGAGACAGAGAGAAATTGCAGCATGATAATCAATTCACCATACAGCTACTAACACTTACTGTGCATGCCCTGAAATAAAAGCTGAAGACAAAGGATGCAGAAGCTGAAACTTAATACAATTTGCACATGAAGCCACGTTTGCTATGTATTCCACATAACCACAAAAACCCTAAAAAGAAAATCATTTATGTCCATTTTTCAGTTTATAAAGAAACTAACATTCAGGGTTGAGCAGATAATTTGCCAGTAATTGACAGTATTAGAACCAGGCATTGTGATAATGCTAAAAAGTTATGGGCTTCTTTGAACCACACTGTGACCTGTGGGCTTGTGACAGACCCAAAGAGACCAAAGGACAATAAAAGCCCAGACTTGCCTTGAACTTACTATGTAGCCCAGGCTGCCCTCAAGTTTAGGATCCTCCTGCATCAGCCTCCTGAATGTTGGGATTACAGGCACACATTGCCATACCTAGTTTTAAAGCTCTCTTCTCCAAGGAAAGTCTTTCTCATTTCTTCAGTCTTTTACATACTTGAGTCTGCGACAGCTAGGTTCTGGCCAGTTCCTTAGGTACCTTTTCTATTTCCCGAAACAAAGCACTTGGTTTATTGTAATGGCT